CTCAGGTGTTAGGTTGCCTCTGAAGGGCTTACGGTTTTATTATTTGATTCCCATCCATCTTCTGTTCCCCCAGACGTGCCCATCGCAAGCACCGGATCATTTAGCACTCTAAAAATAATGTACTAATAGGCCCCCTTTACTGAGAAGGCCTAACTTCATGCCAGACACTGAGCCAGATGCTTTGTGTTGATTAGCTCTGATCATTCTCCGAGCAACCCACGGGTTATGGTTATTCTGTCAGTTTTCCGTATCTCTCAGTCAAGGAGATTGGGGTGCACCTGCCCTGAAAGTGAAACCTAGGTTTTTTTCAACTCTGAAACCAGAATGCTCTGAGTCATTAAACTAAAGTGCCTGCCCCATTGATGAGCCGCCATTCACTCATTCAGCTGACATTTACTGAGGGCCTAACATGGGCCAGGTATTGGCCTAGGAATACACGGTGATGAACCAAAATAAGAGAGGCCCCCCTGCCTTCAGAAGCTCACAGTCTATCCCAGGGAGAGAACAGCCAGATCTGGTTTGATCTTTGGGGCTGGCAAGCTATGGGATTTGGGGCAAATCTATTCTATTCTCTTAACTTCAGATTTCATTTCTGTAAATCGAGGCAGATTTCATATCTGTAAATCGAGGCAGCTGGATTTAGACAAGTGGTTTTTCCAGCGTTACTGTGAATCAGAATTGCTTGGGGAATGTGTTTAAAAACACAACTTGGCCTCTCACCCCCCAGATACTTTGATTTAGTAAGTTCAAGGTGGCACCAGGAAATTACATCTATAATGAGGGCCCAGGTCTACCAAAAACCACCCTTTGAGAGAGAGTGATCTGGCTGTAAACCCCATTAACACTTACACAGAATCTATTTCTTGTCAGGCCTGTATCTCCGTTGCCTAGCACAGTGTCTGGCACGGGGTAGGTCTTGATAAACATTTGGCGATAGTTTGGATGGTCCATCTACGGGATTTCCGTGGATGGACCTCAGAGTCCTGAACCACCTGAAACAAACCAGTTTTTGTTAACGTTTGTGGGTAGGGTTCAAAGGGTCCTTCAGGCACTGAAAGCTCTGTGATTTTAGCATTGAAATCTAAATTTTCTGCTACCAAATGCTCAGACCTATTAATTGGAAAGCTTTTTCGTCCGTGTAACAAAATCTGAATTCTTTATCAAGGTGATTTGATGAGATGTCAGTTTACAGTAGATTCTTAAAATCCTAAAGGAGTTGATGACCAGTTTTCATGTGTAGCTTCTGGAAGTCCTCAGGATACATTCTATTTTTGTGGTTTTTCTCACTTCCTCTGCAAGTACCTGTTGGGTAGGTAGTGCTGTCTCCATTTTCCAGGTGGGAAAATCGGGGCACTCGTGACTCCTGTAGCTTATCCAAGGTCTCTCCACCCTGCAAGGGCTCTCCACTGAAAACTAGGCTGGGAATCAAAGAACATGGCTCCTATCTTCTTGACTGCTTATGTGGCCTTGATTGGGTAGGTTGTCGTCTTTGGACCTCAGCTTCCCCATCTGTAAGATGGGAGAGGAGTGGACTAATTGATTCTGAGCAGCTGCTTAGCTTGGATGTTTGAGGTTCCTCTATAACTACGTGCTTAGACATGCAGAACTCCCTGTGTCTGCAGGCTCTGATATCCTGTTAGTTTAGGGAGATGGAAAGGTTATTGAGTCCACCTAAACAACATAAATCTGCGTAGAACATTCCAGAGGGGCAACCATCATGAAAGCAAAAGCAGTGCAGGTGGTAGAAGCTGAGGGTGTGAATCTTCCAGAATTTTGGAACCTTTATTCTCTACCCTGTCAGTTCAGCAATTCACTGTTCATCCTGAGAAGATTCATGGAGTCTCCTTCCATGAGGTCACAACGGTGAGATTCAGTCCCGTGCCCCATTCCCAGTATCAAGGGAAGACTTTCACGAGCAGATGGAGGAAACAGAGCCCTTCATGGAATTGTGTAGACTCTTGAAATTGTCCTTTGAGGGTTACCTGAGCCTTAACAATAGGAAATATCCTTTTCCCCCGACACTGGCAATTTAAAAAACAAAGCAAAACAAAATAAAACCTCAAAAACCACCAGCTTGTTTTTGCCAGCGATCATAACTTTTTTTGTGACCTTTGATGCTACATATCTGTTTAACTTAGATACTGGAGCCCAGGTTTGGTCTGACCAGCACCCAAGCAGGCAGGATTATGGCCTTCTTCATTCTAGACCAGTAGTTCTCAAACCTGAGGGTGCATCAGAATCTCTTGGAGGTCTTGTTAAAACACAGATCGTAGGGCCTCATCTTGGATATTAAAACATCCAAGAGTTTCTGCCTCATCAGGACTGGGGCAGGGCCCAGGAATTAATGTTTCTTCCTTCCTTCCTTCCTTCCTTCCTTCCTTCCTTCCTTCCTTCCTTCCTTCTTTCCTTCTTCTTTCTTTTCTCCTTTTTTTTTTTTAAAGATTGTATTTATTTATTTATTTGAGAGAAGGCGAGCACATGAGTGGAGAGAGGGTGAAACAGACCCTGTGGCCAGGGAGCCCGAGCACGCGGCCCAGTCCCAGGAAGAGGGGATCACAACCTGAGCCGAAGGCAGACACTTAACTGACTGAGCCACCCAGGCAGCCCAGGAATGAACATTTCTAATGTCCCAGGTGGGGCAGTGCTGCTCACACTTTGGGAATCTCTTTGTATAGGCTCCTTCCATTAAGATAGCCTCAACTTGGCCGATCTTCTTCATCCTGCTAGTGACCTCAGCAGTCAACTGAAGTTCCCAGTTTTTGCGTAGCAGAAGAGGGAAAAGGAATTGGGAGGGAGGGCTGGAGAAAAGATTGCTAACCAGGCGTTGACCAATCCTTCTTGACCTCTTAGCAATGAAGGGTTTTACCTTGTACAGGTCCCTGACCCACCCCAAGACTCGGCTGCTCTGTGTGTGAAATGGGAAAGTGGCCCTGGTCAGTTTCCAAGTAGCTTTATTTACTTGTTTGGAGATTTGATTGTCCATTTGTTTTTAGCAGGTGCTTTCTAAAATGAAATCCACATGGAACCAGTTCAGAAAACAGACAGATGATTGCTGGTCTGGTTGAAAGGGGGTCGACCTCCCACTCTCAGCACCCCTCCTCCTAAGACAGTGCTAAGTGTCTCCTATAGAAATGTAGCTGAGCGCAGTTGAAATTTGCTGAAGAAACTTCCAGCTCAACTTCTGTGATTTCTGAGAACCCTGAGAACTGTTCGTGGGCACGTGGGCTTTGTTTTCACAGTTCTCTTTCACTCTTTGACCACATCTGGCATGCTAACTTTCCAGATCTTCTCCTTACAGCTCAGAGAGGTCTGTAGGAGAGGGAGCACAAAGGATTGTTATTATCATTAGAGCTGATGTAAGGATATTGAGCCGTTGTGGAAAATCTGCTAAAACAAGGATCAGCCAGAGACTTAATAAACAGGCTTGGGGATGATTTTATTCTGGTGGCTTCTTGTTAGTGCTAATGTTGCAGCATGCCACATGCTCAGGGCCTTCGTAGCTAATTACATAGGAAATAGGACCACTGGATCTCATATGCCACAGTGGCAAGAACAAGTCTGCAAGATTTTTAATGGGCAAGGTGATGTGGAAAGCCATTCTCATTTATGTGAACACAGGAAGATCCTTAAACAGCCCTGGGGAAGGCTCTAACTGAGCCACCGGGCCAAGTCTTTAACCTTGACTGTTGGCATGGGGAAGCATCTGGCGCCTTCTAATGACCCCACATACTGGAATCCAACTCCTTTAATTAGGAAACTGCTTCTAATAGGCCCACCAGGATGGACTTACCTCCCAGACACAATAAATGCTGGCAGAGCCGGGCCCCTAGGGGCCACTCTCTTGTGACTGCTGTATATATTCCCATTTTCTTTCAGCCCTCCAATTGCTTGTTCATACATTCTGCACACAATGGCCAAATGTTCATGCTGTTTGGGACTGGGCCTTTGGGACTGTAGAAGTGACCAAGACCCGACTTCTGCTCTGGGTGCAGAGCTCCTCAGGCCCAGCCCAGCTCTCCCACCCTCTGCTGCCCCTGGAAGTCTTTGCCCTGCCTCTCATTTCTGCTTACCTGAAGCTTAGCCCAAACACCGTCAAGTCTGCAATATTTTCCCCTGTTCTCCCTAGTGGAAGTCAATTCCTCCTATAGCCCTTTCTCCAGGCCTCTGATTTGAGGTTCACTTAACCTGCCCTGTCCAGTATATGGCCATGAGTCACCTGGAAGGGTCTGAATTGAGATGAACACAAGTGTAAAATACACACTGGATTTCAAAGGCTTAGTGGATGCCTGGGTGGCTCAGGTCCATGATCCCAGGGTCCGGGGTTCAAGCCCCACTCAGGCTTCCTGCTCAGAGGCCAGCCTGCTTCTGCCTCTCCCTCTCCCTGCCACTCCCCCTGCTCGTGCTCTCTCTCTCTCTCTCTCCCCCACCCCACTTCCCTCTGACAAATAAATTAATAAAATCTTTAAAAAAAAAAAAAAGGGATTTCAAAAGCTTAGTACAAAAAAACCAATAAAATATCTCAGGGATTTTTTACACTGTGTGTTGAAACGATAATACTTTAGATAGACTATATTGTAAATATATTATCAAAACTGATTCATCTGTTTTTTATTTTTAATTTTTTTTAGTGTGAATACTAGAAAATTTAAAGTTACACATGTGGCTCACATTTGTGGCTCGCATATTTCTGTTGGACAGAGCTACACTTGTGCTTTCTCCCTTGGGGGAAAGGACTGTCTGTCCATCTGTTTTCTCTCCTGCTGCTTTCACAGTTCCAGGAGGCTGGACACCGTGTACCTGTCATCCTCCTGACCTTTGCCCACCTGACTGGCATACGGCAGCACTAACAAAGGCAGATCGAGGGGATTCATAAATGAGCAGTTGATGACAGATCGTCAAGCAGTACCAAAAGCTCCCATAGAGAGTGCGATTTCTGGGTCTCTGTTATTGAATTTATTTCCCCTTTCCTTCTTTTTCACTGTTTTTATCTTTTTTTTAAGGGCTCCCACAATCAGCAGAAGAAGATATTTTTCGTGGGAGATGGGCAGAAGCTGAAGGATTGGCATGACAAAGAAGCCATCAGAAGGGACGCCCAGCGCGTAGGTATGGAGAGCAGTATCGTGCATTGGCGGGTCCTGTGAAGGGCAGGTGCACATGTTTAGCAGGCGTGTCTGGACCTCCTGTTCACTCCCTCTCCATTTGCCGCCATCCCTTCCCCTGCTTCCTGGAAAGGCTCCCTCTTCACCTGTTAGCTGATCCCGTTCTCCACTCACATCGCCAGATCCACTGCCTTCAGGAATTGTCCCCACCACCTTTACTGGGTGACAGATGATGTCCCCCTACCCTTTATGAGATAATTTACCACTAAAATGAGGAGCAGTCATGATAAGAACCAACGTTTATTAAATACCTGCAGTGAGTGAGGCCCGGGCTCCACACTTGGCACATTTTCTCAGGGAAACCCCAAGTTACCCTTTGTGGCCCATTTGACGAGAAGGGACCTGAAGCTCAGAGATGTGGGGTAATCTGCCTGCAGTCACGCAGTGAGAAAGAGGCAGGTTTGGGACTCGAACCCAGGTCTGGATGTAACCACAAGGTTGAATGGATTTAGCAGGCTTCAGCTAAAGTTTTCTTTGGCTGATTAGTCTTTGGAGCAGTTCCTGTTACACTGGGGAGTTGGGAAGGGGAGGGGAAGGGTGGGGTTTATAGAAATAATGTGGAAAGTCATCTCTAGAGAGCCTAGACTCGGAGTCAGGATGGCAGATCTGGCACCACTGGCATCAGCTCTGGCAGCACGTGACCATCAGATCCCATATTCCTGGAGCCTCAGTTTCCCCATGTGTCAGCGGGACTCACACTTCCTGCTCAGACAACCTCGGTGGTGTTGTCAAGGTGACACAAATAAAGTGATGGGTATGAAGCAACTTTACAATACTGGAAAGCACTGTAGAAATATAGGGATTGGTATTTTATTCATTTTTATCTTAGTTAGAAGAACCCACCACTATTGATTTTTTTTTTTTATTACATTATGAAAAAAACCAGACTACAGCAGGCTCTAATTAGAGCTGATACAATAACTGATGGTCAGGGAAATCTAAAAACACAATATGCATTTTTCTGTAGGGCAGTGATTGAAAATGAAGGTGGGGGTGGGTGCTGGTAAACTGAGAAAGGAAACATTTGAAACAAGCTGATTTTCCAGGCAGTTATCATACGAGAATTATTAGAACATGGGGCTAACTAGCAAGAAAAAGAGTAAGCAGTAGAGACATTATTTTTTTTTTAAGATTTTATTTATTTATTTGACAGAGATCACAAGTAGGCAGAGAGGCAGAGAGAGAGGAGGAAGCAGGCTCCCTGCTGAGCAGAGAGCCCAGTGTGAGGCTCCATCCCAGGACCCTGGGATCTTGACCTGAGCCAAAGGCAGAGGCGTTAACCCACTGAGTCACCCAGGCGCCCCAGTACAGACATTATTAAGAATAATAATAACCAGCTTGTGTTGAGTGCTAACTCTGTGCCAGGCATCTTGCCCTGCATTACCTCCTTAGTTATCACATTGAACCTTCTTTTCCCCTTTCATCCAAAGGGCAAAGCCCAATCAGAGAAAGTCTTAACAGCACGTCCAGGATAACAAAGCTTCGAGTAGCAGGTTTGGGCTTCAAGCTGCACTCTGCCAGACTCTAGGGCCTGAACTCTGAGTCACTCCCCTGTACTGCCTTCCTGAAACTTCCCTCTCTAAGCAGATGCTTCTGGCTGTCCTTTTTCTGCTGGCTGCATTTGTGTCCCTTGCAGAATCCGTCCTGGGCCCTAGCCAGCACCGTCTTATCATGGAGCCTTTGGAGTTACAGATGGCAGCGTCCCCTCTCTCATCTGGTTGGGTGGAGTAGGCACAGCCTTTGGCCCCACCTGTCAGCCTGCACCTTCCCATCAAGCTGATGTTGTCAACATTTACTTTGCAAAGTAAATAGGGTATTGCTCAGACTGCAAGCTCCAGAAGACGAGGTGATTTTTAACGAGCTGATTTTATGGCCATTTCTTCAAGACTCTGTCCACTTGCAGATTACTGCACTGTTATTGCAGGGGTGGGTGTGGACTTTCCTACTCACTATCTGCACCCTGGGAACCCAGAGAATAATTTCCTGGAGCATCAGGAACTCTCCCCACTTAGATTGTACAGAGAAGGGACAGCTAGCACTTTACCCACCCAAATTCATGACTTTTCGGGCAATCGTGGCCTAGGCTAGGCAGATCTTAATCGTTTGATGACTTAAAAGATCAAAGCATCTTTTATCACTTGTAGCATTTTTTCTTTGCATATGAAGTTTGCCTCGCCGAGAGTAATCTTAATATAGTTTATAATTTCTGCCATGTATGCACCCTCACTTTTGACTTTCTCAGTGGGGTGTGGGTACCAGATGGAGCAAAGCTGCCGTTCAGAGAGTTGGTGTGACTGGCCCAAGGTTCGTCAGCTCATATGAAGTAGATCTGGCCTCCTGTCCAGCTGATGGGATGCCATGGTCAGGGATGTCTGGGGCCCCTGGCAGAGTAGGGTGAGCATGGACTTTGGAGCTCACAAACCTGCTCTTAAAACTTTCTTGAGTCCCAGTTTATCCATCCATAGAATGAAGCCTCACACGTCCGCCCTGACAGCTTGCTGTGGGGATGACGTGAGAACAGGTCTGTGAAGTGCGTGACAAGGGCGTGGCTGAAAAAATTCTTATTTCCCTCCCCTCTGTAGACTCCCCCTGCAAAATCTAGAGGTCCACTCTGTATCCATTTGTAAAGTTTTATCTCTGTGGTTTAATCATATCTTTCATCCTTCTTCCCCCACTCCATTCGATTAGCAACATTGACTTTGCTTTTTGCTTCTAGGAAATGGAGAACAAGGGAGACCTTACCCCATGACCGACGCAGAGAGAGTGGATCAGGCGTACCGAGAAAATGGATTTAACATTTACGTCAGCGATAAAATCTCCCTGAATCGCTCTCTCCCTGATATTCGGCACCCAAAGTGAGTGTGACATCTCTCATCTGGGATCTAGGGATTTTGCCTGTGGCTCTTGATAAGAATTAATTAAAGAAACAGGTACATCAAGCGGGCTGGAGGAAATTCCCTCCTTGGTACACAGGGCCATGGTCCAGAGGTTTATATGATGGGATTCCCCTAGATTTAGAGGTGGGGTGGCAGAGGGTTGAAAAAGAACCTGTCTCCTTCCCCTTCACTTTTCAAGCAGTGGAAACTTTCGGACCTCTGCATTTCCCCTTTGCTCTGGCCTATGGGTACATGCAAACCTCACATTCAGACAATTGCAATGACAGTTTCAACCCTCATGCTCCCCACTTTCTGTGTGCTACTTTTTTTTTCCCTTTTCTTAAAAGAGGGCTTTGTGCCTGTATATTTATGTCCTTTCTTAATAAGCTGACTCAAATCACTTTGAGACTAGACACATTGTAGCAGGGATAAAGAGCGTAAGAGTGGCAGCCAACATTCCCTCAACAGTTATCATGCGTTGTTTGCAGCATCTGAGGTTCCTGTGAGGTAGGTCCTACAATGGTGCCCATTTTACAGCCGGGGAAACTGAGGCTTAAATGAGCATCCTAACTCATGGCCCCGGGGTTGCAAAGAAGCGGAACCAGGTCTCCAACTCAACCAAAACCTGTACTTGGGACCTTAAGCTGTCCTGCCTCCCTCGCCATTTTCAGGAGGCTTACTGTGGTGGTTAAGAGTGATTTCCTACTAGAGCAGGAGTTCTTAAAGTTGGTTTGCAGTAGAGTTGCCTGGATGGTTGTTAAGAGCCCAGGATACTGTGCCTCACCCCCATAGATCTCGATGTAATAGATCTGGGTTAGGGCCCATGAACTTGCGTTATAAGTAAGCTCCCATGTGATGCTGGTGCAGCTTATCTTGGATCCACACTTTGGGAACCTCTGCAGGCTGAATTCAAAATGGCTGCTACAGGAAGACTAGTACCAGGTGGCACCGGAGCACACAGTGTTTTGCTCAGGGGTTTAGGAAGTAGAGCCCAGGAAAAGATAATATCAGCTAACACTCGGTTGGTACTTATTGTATGCCAGGCTTGATTCTCAGCCAGTGGTTCTCAAAGTGTGGCTCTCAGCCCAGCAATGCCATGGGTACCTAGGAGCATATTAGACATGCACATTCTCTGTTTCCAGCCCAGATCTACTGCATCAAAAGCTCTTGAGAGGGACCCAGCAGTCAGTGTTTGAATAAGCCCTCCTGGTGATTTTAATGCAAAGCTTAAGTTGTAGAAGATGTTCTAGATACTTCAAGTGCTTTACCTCACTTAGCCAAACCTTCTAAAAACCCAACGAGGTACATACCTTTATTACCATCATTTTACAGATAAGGAATCGAGGCATGAGAAGGTTAGATGATTTACATAAGATGGCGCAGTGAGTAAGTGGAATCAGAACTTGAATTTGGGGACTGTGACTTGACATTTATAACACGAGGTCTCTCCACCTAGAAGAACTCCATTGGTAGAAAGCAGGACAGGCACAGCTTGGAGGTACTACAGGTTCTACTCCAGAACACTGTGGTAAAGTGAATCAGACGAGTTCTTTGGTTACCCTGTGCACATAAAAGTTTACACTATGCTGTCATCAGTTAAGTGTGCAACAGCATTATGTCTAAAAAAAGTACGTACCTTAATTAAAAAAGCACATTATTGCTAAAAAAAAAAATGCTAACCATCATCTGGGCTTTTAGTGAGTCGTAATCTTTTTGCTGGTGGAGGGTTCTGCCTTAACGTGGCACCTGCTGACTGATAGGGGTGGAGGTTACCAAAGGCAAGGGTGACTCTGCCAATTTCCTAAAATAAATCAACAATGATCTAGGCTGTATCAGTCAACTTATCCATTCCAGAAAGATTTCTCCATAGCATGTGATGCTGTTTGATAGCATTTACCCACAGGAGATCTTTCAAAATTGAAACCAGTCCTCTCAAACCCTGCCACTGCTTTATCAACTCAGTCTGTGTAATATTCTAAATGCTTTGTTGACATTTCAACAATCTCCACAGCGTCTTTACCAGAAGTAGTTTCCATCTCAAGAAGCCACTTTTTTTGCTCACCCATAAGAAACAGCTTCTAATCCATTAAAGTTTTATCATGAAATTGCAGTAATTCAGCTACAACAATGATCAAGAGAAAGTTAGAAATGCTGTGAGGATTACCAGTATGTGACACACATGAAGCAAGCAAATACTGTTAGAAAAAGGACACCAACAGACTTGCCCAACATGGGGTTGACACAAACCTTAACTTTGTAAAAAAACATGGTATCTGGAAAACAGTAAAGGGAAGTGACCATAAATAGATACTAATCCCAATAGTAAAGAATTAATCTTGATACTATGTTGGGGCTACTTACAAGATGCTTTCTGTCCCATTCCATCTTTCAGTTCCTGCAGCAACACCTTGAAGTTGGCCTTATTATTATTATCCTCTCTACTTTGTAGATGAGAAAACCGCCTAGCCAGGATTCCGTCCCCCAGAAAATATGCTGCCTGTCCAGGATGGGCCCTATTCATAAGGACTTCTTGCCATGAGGGGAGGGAGCGTGGGGCCTCGGAGTGCTTGTCTGTGGCGTTTGCAGTAATTTGTTTCATGGTCTTCACTTCAAGCCCCAGATTTTTCATCTAAGTCTGAGCATGTAGTTCAGATATTACTGATGTTGCTCAATTCAGAACTGTGACCTGACTCTGAGGGTCAGAAACTCAATTTATGTGTTTAGCCCCTTGCAGAGTTCAGAATTCTACACTAATTTCATCTTGCCGGCTCTGGAAAAGAAGTTCATCTGGGAGCACTGCCCTCTGACCTCAGCTGTTGTTCTGCACTACTGCAGGGTCTCAACTCTGGCTGGACCTGGGGTGGCTTTAAAAATAGACAAAGGCCAGGGCCCCACCCCAGAACACTGGAATCTGAGTCTCTGGGGGTGCCTCCGGGGTCTTGGTAGTTTCTAAAACCTCGTAAAGCAATGCTCACTTAGATAACTAGGGTTGAGAAACTGCTGGTGTGAAATAAGGAAGATTTTTTACAACAAGAGAGAGAAACTAGGTGTGGTCACAGCTTTCATCTGTCCATTCATCTGTTCAGTCTGTAAATATACAGGCATGGTCTCCTATGTGCCAGGCCTTTTGCTTGACACCAGGATCATAATGATAAATGAGCCATTATTGCTGCCTTGTGCAAGAGATGGGGGCATACAGGCCAAACAGGTCATTAACATCCCAGATGAGAAGACCAGTAATGAGAGCTAATAAGAGTAGACAGAGCACCCGGAACCTCAGAAGACCCCCCCACCCAGCCCCAGCCTTTGCAAGAAGACACTGAAGGTGGAGAAGTAGGCATGAGAGGCAGGCTCTCCCGGCTTACTGACTACAAGTTTGAGGCTCCCAGCTGATGAGAGGCCACAACAGCTCTGGAAAAGAAAGGTCTTCTTCATCTAGGAGTCCTGGGGCCCACAGATAGGACCATAAACCTGAATGAGGCAAAACACTGCATTTTTCTTTTCAGTAACCTCTCACGGAAATGTGGTGTTCCTTGCCGTTATGACTGAAGGCAACAAAGCACCTGTGATGTCGTCACCAAAAGAAATCACTTACCTTTACATCACTTTACAAGTGTCTAGAAACATCCTGAACACTCATCCCTGCTGTGAAGGGAAGGTAGTTTTTAGAACTGCCCCTGGCTTGTGTTGTGTACTGTGTTCATAAGGAAATACTTTTATTACTGTATTTCAAATTGTTTATTATTTTGATAACTGTATCTCAGTCTAATTGGTTTCCTTTATCATCTGACCTATTTTATTTTATGCATCATAAAAGCTACTCTGAGAAGCGGCCAGAGGCTTTGGCAGCCTGGCAGAGGGGTCCAGGGCATCAGTACGGTGAGGAACCCCTGTTCTAGGTGTTGGAATGAAGCCTGAGGACGCTTCAGGCTCCGCTCCAAGTCACCATGAAAGATGTTCCTAAATCCCGTGCTCCTGACCCCCCCTAACTCCTGCTCAACACACACTTTTTGGAATTCCCAGTGTGGACGCTCACTTTCCAGAAATGAGTTGATAAATGTCTTAAAGAGCTTTTACTTTTTTCCCGGGCTGGAGGGGTTTGGTGGATCTTTCCTGCAGACAGCAGAAAAGTGTGAGGAAATTAGAGCAGTGGAGACACTCTCTCCCTGTGGTTTCTTTTAGCTGAAACAACTTTTCTAGCAGGAGCTGTTTTATAAGTCAAATGTTTGCCTTTTACTTCTTCAGCTGAGTTTTGGCAATAGCCAAGAGCAGGACTGAGGGGCTGTTTGTGCCAGCTGCATTTGCTCCCACCAGAAGCTGTACCAGAGACCATGGAGCCACAGAGAACGGAGACCAGGCAGTTAGGCCTGACTCATTGGGCTTGCAAGTGGGAGGCGGCCCCCTGACTCTGCAGGGATCTGTCCGCTACAACCCGCGGCTGAGGGAGCTGAATGGAAGCTGGCTGGTGCACTGGCCTGCTTTCCCTGCTCCTCCCCTGGGGGGTTGGGAGGTTGCTCAGCAGCTGTGCATGAAGGCCCCATGAGGGCGCAGAGCTGATGGCAGCAGCCCCAACTGCTGGAGTGCCTGGGGTCTGAAGGTTCCTGTGCAAACTTCTCCTCTGAGAAAATGGTGATTTTCTCCCATGCAAAGACTGTCCGTGGTGGGACGGAAAGCAGTCAGCATTCATGGTAGGAATGAAAACTACCTACAATCCTGAACTGTTTTCCCCAGTCCATTGGCTTAGCTTTCAGTAATGAGTGAACCCAAATGGAATCTTTGTTGCAGTTAAAGGCCCAAATCTACCAAATTCTTGGTTCCATGCTTCCTTTTGCTTGTTGCTTTTTGCTAAATTAACTCTGTTGATTTATGGTATATGTTGAATTTCCTTAAAAGAACTTAGAAGTTCATACTGTTATAATAAGCCAGTATTCTGTTGATCGCCTTTACATCTCCAGTGGGTTACAAAAGCAATAACAGAG